AAATCTTAGAGAAAGATTTATTTACTTACTGGAAAGAGATCCTTTATCTGCTGATTCACTCCCCAGAAGACCACAATGGCTAGAACTGGATCAGGCCAAAGCCTGGAGCCAGGAACTTCATCTGGGTCTCCCACGTAAGTAGCAAGGGCCCAAACATTTGGACCATTTTCTTCTTTTCCTAAGCCATCAGTTGACAATGATAATATGTAGTAGCAGTATCAATAACTGTGTGAGGGGAGGTTCTTTAAAATTTATTTACTTTTATGGGAAAGGCAGATTTACAGAGAGAAAGAGATACAGAAAGGAATATCTCCCATCTGCTGGTACACTCCTCAAATGGATGCAATGGGCTGAGCTGAGCTGATCTAAGGCGAGTAGATTCTTCTGGGTTTCCCCAACAAGGTGCAGGGTCCCAAGGTTTTGGGTCATCTTCTGCTGCTTTCCCAGGTCATAAGCAGAGAGCTAGATGGGAAGTGGAGCAGTTGGGATATAAGCTGGCGTCCATATGTAGTGCCTTCACTAGTAGGCAGAGGATTATCCAGTTGGGCCAATCATGCTGGCCCCAATAACCATGTTTTAAAGTAAACAATGTTCTGGGTGTGGCGCGATGGTCTAAGAGCTAAAGTCATCACCTTGAACGTGCCAGGATCCCATATGAGCGCCGGTTCTAATCCCGGTGGCCTGCTTCCCATCCAGCTCCCTGTTTGTGGCCTGGGACCCCACACCCGCATGAAAGACCCAGAAGAGGATCTGGGCTTCTGGCTCAGGATTGGCGCAGCACTGGCCGTTGCACTCACCTGGGGAGTGAATCATCGGACGGAAGGTCTTCTTCTCTGTCTCTCCTCCTCTCTGTATGTCTGACTTTGCAATAAAAATAAACAAATCTTTTTTTTTTAAAGATTTTTAAAAATTTTTATTGGAAAGTCAGATATACAGAGAGGAGGAGAGACAGTGAGAAAGATCTTCTGTCCAATGATTCACTCCCCAAGTGACCGCAACGGCCGATGCTGTGTCAATCCGAAGTCAGGATCCAGGAACTTCTTCCAGGTCTCCTATACGGGTGCAGAGTCCCAAGGCTTTGGGCCATCCTCTGGTGCTTTCCCAGGCCACAATCAGATGGGAAGTGGAGCTGCTGGGATTAAAACCAGCGCCCATATGGGATCCCAGGGCGTTCAGGCGAGGACTTTAGCCGCTAGGCCATGCCGCCGGGCCCAACAAATCTTTTTTAAAAACTGCTGAAACCACCTTCCTGGAGGCAAGTGGATTATCAAGAGCCTTACAAATGCTTAGTCCATTGATGTAGTGCGCATACTTCTAGAAATTCATCTTCTGTAATCAGAGATGTGCAGATTTTTCCAGAACGGTACATATACTCCAAATCAGCCCTCAGTATATGAGGCTGTTTTCCCAATAGCCGGAATGAACAGGGCAGAGATCAAGAGGAGGAAATGAGACTGGCGCACATAATGAGCCATTGAAAATTGCCAGCTTCCTGTTCCTATGACTTTATGCTCTGTTTGTTTGGAACTCTTTTTTTTTTTTTTAAGATTTGTTTATTTTTAAGATTTATTTTATTTTTTTTTTATCAGTTCCAACCACATGACCAGTTACTGAGATTAGGAGTATGAAATATATTATAAATATTCCTTCTTCTTTTTTTTTTTAAAGGATTTATTTTCATTGGAAAGTCAGATTTACGGATTTTGGACAGTCGAGGACAGCCCAAAGCCTTGGGATCTTGCACCCGTTTGGGAGACCTGGAAGCAGCTCTTGGCTCCTGGCTTTGGATCAGCTCAGCTCTGGCAATTGTGGTCACTTGGGGAATGAACCAGCAGATGGAAGATCTTCTGTCTCTCCTTCTCCCTGTAAATCTGACTTTCCAATAAAAATGAATAAATCTTTAGAAAAATAAGTGAATAAATCTAGCTAAGATTTTGGATGCAAATTATTGCAGCTTTATTTTTATCACACAGTCTCTTCCCTGCAAACCCCTAGCATTAACACCCTAGAGAACCACACCAAACAGATGCTTGACTTACTCTTCAATTACTCAATATTCAAGGAGAGTGTAAAATATATTAAGTGCCTTTTTCCAAACACTAGGGAAATGCAGATGTGTAAAGGTTGGCCATTGCCTTCTAGTACCTCCTAACTAGTGGGAGAAACATGAGAAAAGAGATCCCTGAGAAGTTCTTGTGTGAAGACAGATGTGAAGTATCTTAGCCAAGCTGAAAGATGGGTGATGCAGTGGGCCTTGTGGCACAGCAAGCTAAGCAGGCACCTGGGACACCTGCATCCCATATGGTAGTGCTAGTTCAAGTACCAGTTACTCTAATTCTGATTCAGCTCTCTGCTGACATGCCTGGGAAACCACAGTTGATGGCTAAGTGTGAATGAATGATTACTATCAGATTTCTGGACAGACGTTTCATAGTCTTGAGAGAAGATTTTAAAGACCTTTGGTTCATTAATTCATTTATACACTTACTGAGCAAATTTTTGTTGGGTTTCCAAATGCACAGATACAGTGATTTAAAAATAGTTATTGTGCTGGGCCCAATGCAGAAGCCTAGCGGCTAAGCCCTCACCATTTACTTGCCAGGATCCCATTTGGCACCAGTTTTAATCCTGGCAGCCTGACTTCTCATCCAGCTCCCTGCTTGTGGCAAACAACAGTAGATGATGGTCCAAAAGCTTGGGACCATGCACCCACGTGGGAAACCTTTTAAAAGCTCCTGGCTTCAAATGGGCTCAGTTCCGGCCTTTGTGCTTGCCTGGGAAGTGAATCAGCAGACAGATCTTCTTCTCTGTCTCTCTTCTCTGTATATCTGACTTTGCAATAAAAATAAATCTTAAAAAAAAATAGCTATCATGCTGTGGTGCAACAGATTAAGCTATGGTCTGTAGTGCCAGCGTCCCAAATAGGTGCTCATTTGAATCCTGGCTGCTCTACTTCTGGTCCAATTCCCTACTAATGTGCCTGGGAAAGTGACTAAGAATGGCCCAAGTCCTTAAGACCCCACACCCATTTGGAAGACCTGGAAGAAGTTCCTGGCTCTTGGCTTTGGACTAGCCCAGTTCTGGCTCTTGTGGCCATCTGGGGGTGATCCAACAGACAGAAGATCTCTCTTTCTCCATGTCTTTTTTTTTTTTTAATTTATCTCTTTCAAGTAAAACAAATATATCTTTTAAAAAAAAGCTGGGGCCAGTGTTGTAATTCAACTGGCTAATCTTTCCCCTGCAAGTGCCAGCATCCCTTAGGGGCTCCTGTTTATGTCCCAGCTGCTCCACCTCCCATCCAGCTCTCTACTTACAGTCTGGGAAGGTAGTGGAGGATGGCCCACGTACTCCAGCTACAGCACACACATGAGAGACCCAGAAGAGTCTCCTGGCTTTGGATCAGCTCAGCTCTGGCCATTGTAACCATTTTGAGGAGTATACCAACATATGGAAGATCTTTCTCTGTGTCTCTTGCAATAACTCTTTCAAGTAAAATAAATATCTTTTTAAAAAATGCCATTCTTGTTATTCACTAAAACTTTATTATGACTTCTTTGTGTGTGTGTGACTGTGAACTTCTAAACTTCCAAATGTGTCTCATCTCTGTTCTCACAGAAATGCTGAGCTCTGCTTTTGGGGAGTGTTCCTGGAATGTCAAGGTAAAGTACACCACTTCTGAAAACGAGTCTGCAGCAATGTACAGCAGGCCATCTGACTTCAAACTCAGCCCAGCCGCAGCCTGGAGGTTCTCAAAGGATTCCAGACACTAGACCAATGGGATCTTCAAGAGCATTGTGAGGCAAGACAGAACCAGAACAGACTCACAAAAGGAAAGTGACCCGATCCTGACCTGCTCACTGTGTGCGTGCTGCTCAAAGGACAGGCCTGGCCAAGTAAGATGGGGATGCCTTTCCCAGGATGGCATTATGGGTTAGTGACAGTGGTGACTTGGGATGGTGGAGGATCCTGACTGAATCAAGCCTTTGGTTTGGAGAACAAATCCAAATCTCCTTGTAGGTAGAACTTGAGATGGACCAACAGTGCTTTCTGGAGTTGTGAGGCCTGAAGGCTGAAGGGACCATCAGCAAAGCAGACACCAAAACAGCTTCTGCTTCAAGGCCTCCTCCTCCAAGGGTTCCTTTGCCTCATCAAACTGGAAGGTTGTCAGATTCCCTCAGGATCTTCCGGAAATGGAGGCAAGGGTGATCTTAGAGGGGGGGAAAAAGCCCTTTTTTCAGTGCCCAACGCCAGCCCCAACTAGAACAAGAAGCCAAACAACGGCCACTCTTTCCTGTGATTTAGATTTTCGCCCAAACGCCCCTGCCCCCACTGGAGACTCAACCTGGGATCTCAAAGGCAGGCAGTGACCAAGGACAGCACAGCGCGAGGGCTATTTCACAAAGCACAAAAGACTGGCTTTGACGGCAGGTCATGGGACTATAAAGGGACCAGAGAGGCAGTCGCGACCCGCCCGGGAAAGAGGGTCAGGCGGCGGGGGGGAAGAGGACGGCAGTGGCGGGCGATGTAGGACACTGCGCTTTAACTGAGGGAAGAGGACAGCCTGGGCGGGTGGTGTCCAGCGGTGAGCAAGTCTGATCATGCGCCCTGACTTCCAAGCCAGACTCCTTCCCCTCGAGGGGCTGAGCAGGTGTCTGCCTCCTAGTCTGTCCAGCATTTGGCGCCAGGGCACGGTTTGTGATTGGCTCGGGGAAGCGTACGGGGTTACATGGGAGGTAACCACAGGCGTTGGTCGGGTCAAGCGTGGCGGTGGGAGGGATTTCTATTCTAGCACGAGCTGGTTAAGCTTCACTTCCCAGTGGCCCGCGAACAGCACGGGCTAGGCTCCTGAGTGGGGCGGCCCGAGGCCTGATTTCGCAAGCCGCTGCTCGACCCCCTCCAGCAGCGGTCAAAGAATGTTCGCTCGAGCCAGGAACTCTACTCCAAGCCCTAAGTCCCGCCCCCTCGTCCCGCACCCGCGTCTCCGTAGCGACGCGCCGCCGAGTGCGCCTGCGCAGAGGTGACGCCGCGCGGCCGAAGGGGAGGGGGTGTTTTGGTTCTAGCCGCTCGCCGTCCTTTCCAGATTATAGGTCGTCGGAAAGCTTTCTGGTTCCGGCTTCCCTTCCCCGTTCACTTCGCCCGGCCCCCTTGATCTTTTCCCCCTTCCTTCCTTCCCTTCAGTCCGCCCTTTTTTTTGTTTTGTTTTGACTACTGCTGCCCCGGGTTCTGGGCCATATTCCGGGCCGGACGCACTGAGCTGCGCGGCCCCGGGGGCCCGGTCTATGACCCGCCGTCCTGCTCCCCCTCGCTTCCGCCGCCCCATGTGGCTGCGGGGCCGCGGCGGCGCTGCCCACTATGGCCCGGAAAGCAGTTAGCAGGAAGCGGAAAGCGCCTGCCTCACCCGGAGCTGGGAGCGACGCGCAGGGTCCGCAGGTGAGGGCTGTGAGGCCGATGCTGAGGTCTGCAGGCCTGGGCGACAGCAGTGGAGGACCCAGGGCTGTAGGCAGGTGGGGCGGGGGTGGCGCCTGGGCCTTTGGAGCTAGCCAGGTCTTGGGGTGCCCCCCAGGAGTTGCTTGGGTGAATGGAGCGGGGTGGTGATGACCAGCTAGGCTGGATCAGGGAGGAGGAGGAGGAGGCCAGGGGGCACTCAGAAGTGGGGCCTGCTTCCGCGGGAGGCCTTGCAGCCAGGAGCAGGAGTGGTTTAGAATCTTCAGAGAAGAGCAAAACGGAATTCGAGGGGGCACAAAACGGAATTCGAGGGAGCACAAAACGACCTCGCAGGGTGTACCGAGAGGGGCCGTGAAGCGCGTCGTTTAGAGGTCCCCGGGGGCGTGGGCATGGTTGCCCCCTTGGCGAAGAAGAAATCCCCCCTCTGTGGTTAGTCGAGGAGTAAGCTGGGCCTGTTAGCTCTCGAACCACCTAGTGCAAACTGCAATTTCCAGGCGTAACCATACCCACCCTCTTTGGAGAGGAAGTCTTCCTGGGTTATGTGTTTGTGATTCCCACTCTACTGGTATTGCATCGAATTTTGCAACTAGCTGGAGCCCAATCAAGGTGACCAGAGGAAGAGGAGGCGCAGCCATTGATTGTGTGGCCCTTGTAGGACCGTGAAACCACCCCCCCAGTTGCAGGAGGGCATTAGACCTGGACACACACAAAGGGGCTGGGTGGAGGTGATGTACCAAGGATATGGACAGAGGAATCTTAAAAAAGAACTAGTCAGTGCGTCCTGTTCTTTTCTGTTTTTCTGTTCCCGTGTGCTCTCAGCCCTTGCTGTTCCCCATACATCGATTTGACTGTGAACAGCAGTGGCTTTGCAGGTGTTGGGAGAGTTGAACTGGGATCTCTGTTGGATGTGCATCCTGCAGGATTCGTTCTTGGTCACTGGACTTAGTACAGTGGGAGCGCTGGTTCTGAAGGTAGTCGTAGCACAGGCCTGATTTCTGATGTCGCTTTCTGCAGTTTGGCTGGGACCACTCGCTTCACAAAAGGAAGAGACTCCCCCCAGTGAAGAGATCCTTGGTCTGCTATCTGAAGAACCGAGAAGTCAGGCTACAGAACGAAACCAGCTACTCCCGGGTGTTGTATGGGTATGCGGCGCAGCAGCTGCCTGGTCTGCTGAAGGAGAAAGAGTTTCACCTTGGGACCCTGAATAAAGTGTTTGCATCACAATGGTTGAATCACAGGCAAGTGGTATGCGGCACAAAATGCAACACGGTGAGTGTCCAGGGTGCCTGAGCTCCCCCTAGGTCATGCCTGTTTGGCCCCCTGCTCCACTGTCTGCATGTTTCCCAGATGAGTTTCTTAGGGGAGGGAATTGCCTGGTTTCTTTCATTCCCTCTTTGTTGATGACCTCTGTCTTTCTCCATTCCTTTTCTCACTTATTTATTTCACTTTTTAAAAAATGAAATGCAAATCATCAAAAAGAAAACTTCCAGAGACATCTTCAATCTGTTGATTCACTCCCCAGATGGCTGCAGAAGCCTGGGCTGGGCCATGCAGAAGCCATCATCTGGGTCTCTCAAGTGGGTGGCCAAGGCCCAAGCACTTGCTAAGCCTTCCTCTGCTGCCTTCCAGGCCTGTTAGCAAGGAAGTGGATCGAAAGAAGGGGAGCCAGAACTGGAACTGGCCCCATGATAGGAAATGCTGGCATCGCAAGTGACAGTTTAACCCATTCTACCACAATGCCTGTTGCTAATGTATTTTCTGGTAGATATTCTTTGGAGTATTTTTATTTACTTACTCTCAAGATATATTTTTATTGGAAAGGCATATTTACAGAGAAAAGGGAAGACGGAAAGATCTTCCATGTGCCAATTCACTCCCCAAATGGCTGCAACAGCTGCAGCTGAGTCAATCCAAAGTCAGGAGATTCTTCTGGGTCTCCCCATCTGGGTGCAGGATCCCAAGGCTTTGGACCATCTTCCAGTGTTTTCCCAGGCCATAAGCAGGGAACTGAATGGGAAGTGGAGCAGCCAGGACATGAACCAGTGCCCATATGGGATCCTCACGCATACAAGGTGAGGAGTTAGCCACTGGGCCATTGCACTGGCCCTGGAATGAGTGTGTTTAGTTCCTTTGCCCTGGAAGAATCTTCTTGAGATTTTGGGGGTTTTGTGTGGGGAGGAGGAGAGGCTTCACCGTTTGCATGCTTTTATGTCAGTCCTCAAAAGACTTAAGGGAATAGTCATGCTGAGAACATCGTTCAGGATATGTGATAGTGAAAGCCTAAATGTTACCTGTCAGCACAAAGACATAGAAGTATGTGGAAGTGTTTAAAATAATACTTGACTGGAGATAGGAATAATACTTCTTTTAATGGAAGAGAATCTAATGTGTGTGTGTGTGTGTGTGTGTGTGTGTATATGTGTATGTTAAATACGTGTATATATGTATTAAAGATTTACTTATTTTTGGACCCAGTGAAGTAGCCTAGTGGCTGAAGTCCTTGCCTTGTATGTGTTGGGATGCCATATGGGTGCTGGTTCTAATCCCGGCAGCTCCACTTTCCATCTAGCTCCCTGCTTGTGGTCTGGGAAAGCAGTCAAGGATGGCCCAATGCTTTGGGAACCTGCACCTGTGAAAGTAAATAAATTTTTAAAAAGAAAGAGAAAGAACAGAAAAAGGCAGAAACCAGTTCCTGTACACAAAATAAGGAATGTACATCTAATGGTAAAATTCAGGGTATTAGCATTTGTTCTTTGGAGGGTAACCTGAAAAGGAATCAGAAGAGAAGGAAGTTAAGTGATCTAAAAGAGGAGAATGTTTATGACAGTAACATGAAAAGTTATAAATAAATGAGAGGGGCAAGTTTTAATCAGTATGTTCTGTACTCAGCATGGCCATGAGCAAGGGTAAAAGTGAGATAACGAACATGGTTGGTACAGTAGAGCAGAGACAGCATAAAATCATTTTACACTCTGAAGTCAACTGCAAAGAGGCAGGGCCTTGAGGTGGGAAATGATTAGACCCAGCCCAAGAAATGTCATGGTGGCTGAATAAATTGACACTGGACAGAAACACTTCTTGGACTGAGTGAACAGAAAGTTGCTCTACAGAGATGGGGAATCTTTGTTCTGCCTCGGGCTTTTAGGATATTAACATCATCTGAGCCATGCAAAATTATTGACTTAAAAATTAACCAGCTATTGATTTTGCAGACCGTTTGTGACCCATGGGCCAGACGTTCTCCACTCTTACTCTTGATCAAAAAAACCTCAGGTATTATGAGAATGGCTTGTTAAAGACAATACACAAAAATTCAAAACAGGTTTAAGGAAGGAAATAAAACCCTGGTGGTTGCGGTCAAGCTTTCATTTCCTCTTTTGTTGAATGTTGCTTGTCTTACACAGAAGCCTTTCAAAACCAAGTAATGATAGCCAGCCTCTACAACACTTCCTTGTCTCCATCTCTCAGGCTGCCCACTCAGGGTTTAAAAGAATTGTTATCGGTGTTACTTAGAAAATTTTAAGGTCTTTGTTTTGTAAGTATTCGTGCCACTCCCCACACATGGATCGTGGCAGCTTCTTGAATTTATTGATACTATTTTGAAGGTAGACATGTTAAATAATTTTTTTCAGGTTAATTTATTTGCAACACAGAGAGAGAGAGAGATTCATCTCCTGGTTTGTTCCCCAGATGGCCACAGTCTCCTCCAAGGGCCAGCCTTGGGTGAAACTGAAACCAGGAGCCAGGAACTTCATCCAGGTCTCCCATACTGATGTCAGGGGCTCAGATCTTTGAGCCATCTGCTTTTCCGGCCATTGGCAGGGAGTTCTATAAGAAATGGGGCAGCTGGACACGAGCTAGGGCCCTTAGGGGGTGCTGGCGTTTCAGGCTTTTCCTGCTATGCCATGATGCTAGTCCTGAAATCTGCTCTTAATACCTACCTCTTTCTGTCTTACTGCATCTTTACGACCTCATGTGTTTGGAGGTAGGGGAGCTACTCTCTTTTCTCTTTATAGTAAATGTTTGTTTTTCGTTGCTTAGCTTTCAGAACCTAGTTGGGAGCCAGGAACACCTCTCTTCTGAACTCTGACATTTGGCAGCTTATTCACTTCTTTATTCCCTTTGTTTTTGCATAATTAACATGGAGTGATGTCTAGTGAAAAATATCATTTATGAGCAATATTGAGAATCCAGTATGACAGAATCTTTTAGTTGGTCATTTTAATTTGAAAAGCAGATTGACGGATATAGATGTTGTTAACTCCTCACATTGCCATAGTAGCCATGTGTGGGTCAGGCTAAAGCCAGGATCCATGTGGATGCTGGGAATTGAGAGTGCTTGAACTAATTATTTATTGCTTCATCAGTGGAGAGCTTGATTGGAAACCAGGATTCAAACTGGCAATTTGATACAGGAAGCTGGCATTCTTTTTTTTTGGCTATGTGTGAAGATTTATTATTTTACTGCAAAGGCAGATTCATGAAAAGTTCTAATATCTACTAGTCACTCCGCAAATGGCTGCAGTGCCCAGAGCTGAGCCATTGCAAAGCCAGGAGCTTCCTCTGGGTCTCCTATATGCATGCAGGGTCACAAAGATTTATTTTTCATTTTTTTTATTAAGATTTATTTTTATTGGAAAGGCAGAGATACAGAGAGAAAGATTTTCCATCTGTTGGTTCACTCCCCAAGCAGCCACAATGGTCCAGAGCTGAGCCGATCAGAAGTCAGAACCAGGAGCTTCTTCCCGGTCTTCCACATGAATGCAGGGTCCAAGGCTTTAGGCATAGGCCTGCTTTCCTGGACTGCTTTCCCAGGCCGCAAGCAGGGAGCTGGGTGGGAAGTGGAGCAGCTGGGGTTAAAACTGGTGCCCATATTGGGATCCTGGCACGTGTAAAGCGAGGACGTTAGCCAGTAGGCTACCAGGCCAGAACCTGGTCCCAAAGTTTTAGGCCATCATCCTAGCACTTGCAAGAGGAGATTTAGGCAATGGTGCCATCACGCTAGGCCCAAGAAGCTAGCAGTTCTGTTTTTTTTTTTTTTAGATTTAATTATTTTTATTGGAAAGTCAGATTAACAGAGAGGAGAAGAGACAAAGATTTTCCATCCACTGGTTTACTCTGCAAGTGGCTGCAGCGGTGGTAAAAAGGCAGGAGCCGGGAGCTGCTTCCAAGTCTTTCACACAGGTCCAGGGTCCCAAGGCTTTGACCTGTCCTCAACTGCTCTCCCAGGACATAAGCAGGGAGCAGGAAGGGAAGTAAAACAGTCAGGATATGAACCGGCACCCATATGGGATCCCAGCAGTTGCAACACAAGGACTGGAGCCACTAGAATACCACGCCAGGCTAGGAAGCTGGCATTCTAAGAGGTGACTTAGCCTGTTTCCCCCTTTAACATGAGCTTTTGATCTCTAGAAGAGAAATGAAAGGATCGAATCTTGAAAACACTTGTGTGTCAAGCATAGATTTTATCTTTTAAGGAGACAGTGGCCAGGGGAAATAGTAAAGCATCTTGGGGATGGCATTGTGGTGCAGTATGTTAAGTCACTATATTAGCATCAGCATCCCAATTAGAGTACCAGTTCTAGTCCTGACTGCCTTGCTTTCAATCCCACTCCAAGCAGAAGAAGATGGCCATCCCAGTACTTGGGCTGCTACCACCTATGTTGGAAGACCATGATGATTTTTTGGTTCTTGACTTGGGCCTGGACATAACTGGCTCTTGGGGCCATTTTGGAAATGAACCAGCAAATGAACAATCTCTCTGTCTGACTCTTTCCTCTGTTGCTCTTCCTTTCAGATAATTCTAAAATTACATCTTAAAGGTAGAGCCTATGGTTGACAGTGGGCTCAGATTTAATGTGATGAAAGACTTAAGTAAAAATTTATACTGATGTCATTTATTTATTTAAGATATATTCACTTTGGAAAGATACACAAAGAGGAGGAGAGACAGAGAGAAAGATCCTCTGTCCAATGGTTCACTCCCCAAGTGGCTGCAACAATCAGAGCTGAGCCAACTAATCTTAAACCAAGAGCTTCCTCTAGGTCTCCCACACTGGTGCAGGGTCCCAAGGCTTTCCCAGGCCATCCCCGACTGCTTTCCCAGGCCATAAGCAGGGAGCTGGATGGAAGTGGAGCTGCAGGGATTAAAACCGGTGCCCATATGGGCTCCCAGCGTGTTCAAGGCAAGGACTTTAGCCGCTAGGCTACTGCTCCAGACCCGATACTGATGTCTTGAACCTGAGTAACTGGAAGAGATTTGAACAAAA